AAATCTTAGGTTTTTTATACATTTAGAATTCCTTATTTATTAGAAACCTTGACAATGTACCTGTCAGTGAATTACGTTTGAAATAACTTTAACAGATGTTATGTGCAATAAAGAATTGTCATTTGTCATTTGTCATTTATCGGTGATTTTTGATATATTGCAATTTTACTTTTTGATCCGATATATCGATAGCTTAATTGTTCAGTATCAACATGAACAATTAAAAAAAATATTGAAATGAAACAGTTCTAAGCTAACCTTAAATAACTAACCAAACTTGCTGTACTATTTCAAAATCCCATTTGATATTCCCCTCATGCTCTGTTATCAGAGGGAATATTGAAATAGTAAGTTAACTACAGAAAGTTTGGTTAGTTATGTTAGGTTATCTTAGATCAGAAAAGTTTCATTTCTTAATCCTACATATATTTTTGCCTAAACAAGAACAGTTGTAAATTTGTAATTTGAATGCGTTTGAAGATATTAAAAAAGAAAGAATATGGATTGTTAAGCAAAAAACATATCGATAAAAAAAATCATCGTTATAATGAATGTTCCGTTTAACAGGAAAGGGTGAACCTTAAAAGAGCTTAAAAAACAAATAATTTAGTACACAGAGGATACGCGTCCGGTAACCGGACGTGGATTAGGCGTCCGGCAATGACGTCACCGGGTTGTGGGGGCCCGAAACACCATCATCACAACGATACAATGTACAGCCATCGGTGTTCGAGGTGTAGTGGATAGAGTGCTCGGCTGATATGTATGAGGTATCGGGTTCAAATCCCCTCGGTGACTTTAACTTTTTTTCAAAGATTTTGCTTTGAATGCCATTTCTTCTTAACTGTAGGTACATATTTTGTAAGAATTTTTGGCATTTAGCCTATAATTTTATTTTATGAACAAAATTTAACTTTCATTCGATTTTTTCATTATCAGCAAGTTTGGTTGGTTAGGTTACGTCATGACAGTAAACTGCCAGACATCTAATCCAATTTAAATGAAAATGTTTTTGTACAATTATTGGTTACGGAGAAAATTACAGGGAAAAGTTGTAAACTTAAAATTCCTCACTTTATTAGCCTCCCTGTAGCAGCAAATCTAGGTAGCCTACTTGTTAAACCTTATCATAAATATTTAAAACAAAATTTTTATTCTTTTCCGAGTTCGTTTGGTTCTGCTACCGGACTGATTTTCATGATTGAGGTCTCAAATTGAAGGTATGCACACACAGATTTGCTATCAAGCAGGGGTGCCCACAAGGGGGGGCCGTGACGCAGACTGCGTCATTGAAATTCTTGGGGGGGGCTCAAAAATTCAAATGGGGGGGGGGGGGGGCTAAAGTTAATTGCAACAGTGTTCAACGTGACGACAATCCAAAATACATTACGAAATTGCCAGATAGAAAGTGGATAATTAATGACAATAGTTATATTATTGAATTAAATTAGTTAAAATAGGATTTTAGGATTGTTTAGGATTCGTGTAGAAAGTTATTATTTAAGATTAGCAAGACGTGAGATCTAAGGCTGGTTTTATGCACCGCGACAGTCGCGAGTCGCGCCACGTCTTGAGGCTGACAAAAATTTCACGCGACAGCGACACTTTTTTGTCGCGTAAACTCACATCCGGTGGTGGGGGAATTAAAGAAATCAGTCTGTTCTCAATCCAATGTTGTGTGTAGTGTTTTGATGTAGAAGTGATTATTAAGTTGTTTAAATATAGACCCTGTAGTGTTGTACACGTTAATGACAAAACCCCAGTTATTTAAACAACACATACAATTTACAGTTGGAATTGGGTCAACCCTCTTAAAAATGTCATTACATAATATAATGATGTAATTTATATTACAAATAAAGAGTAAAGAACTCATTTATATACTAATTATTAACATTAATTAATATAAAAATATGGAGAATATACCACGTGGAGTATGAAAAATACTACTGTCGCGGTGCATAAACGTGCCCATTTGATCCAATAGAACTTGAACCGCGCGCGACACATTTTTTTAAGCTGCGATTCTAAAACCTGTCGCGGGTATTTAGAGTCGCTCTGCAGCAGTTTGTCGCTGTCGCGGTGCATAAATGCTCCCATTTAACTCAATAGAACTTGAGTCGCGCCGCGACACGCGACTGTCGCGGTGCATAAAACCGGCCTAAGAGAGGGAGCGCACGGGATGGCTCAACTGCTGTGATAGATAAAAGATAACGCGTGGTACAGACACGTCCAGCTACAAGACCGCGACTTAAGCACAGCAAAACGCTTTGTTGACATAAAGCTCGTTAAAATACAATCAAGTAGCAAGTAGCATAGGCTACAATACTTAACACTATTGTGTATACTCGATTACCTGAGTTAATATGGAGAGGGGGGGATACAAAATACGGTTAATCCAATATAGTATAAAAACAGATGAAAAACTCATTAAAACGCTGTAAACATCCATTAAGTCACGATTTACATTTTTATAAACGAAATTCAATATTGCACAATCATTATTATTGTAAATTTCAAATCATTTATCTTGGTTCAGTTGTACAAACGGCAACGTTTAAAATTGTAGCTAACTCAAACTCAACTAATCACTAGCCAAACATTACATTGCTATAAATAACGTAAATATTAAAGGAACCTTTAGAAAGTGTTATAAGGTACTGCTCATGATAGACAGATAGGCTATCGATAGGTGCTGTATCACAGCATAGGAATTTATAGATAAGTAATAAAAAAGTGTAAAATTATATTTAGAGATAGTTAAAACACTCTGAAAAAAGAATGTAACGAGAACAATCTTGTTATTCTATTTCTTTGTTCTTCTGTTCATTTAATAGGTTTCTCTTCAATTCATACACAAATTCAACAAGTCGCCATATTTAGGCCTACTCATTGGCCAATCACAGCCTTACTAAAGTTACCATGGTTATCACTCAATCACAGTGTACTAAGCATTATATCGTCATCATTCCCCAGCTGTTGTATCTGAAATCTGTTGTAACATAGCGCACAGCAGACAGAAGTGTATAACGGAGCAGACGATTGTTGGCGCAAGCGTTGTTTCCATTTCATTTTCATCAAAGGAGCTGTGATGTTTCTAAAGGGAGGGAGAGGGGATCGTTATATCGAGAAAGACGCTGACAATTCGTTATGGATATTCTGGCAATAAAAAATTCCTTAAATTGAGGTGACTTATAAAACTCTAATTTTATTTATATAGAAAGATAATTTTTCCAGTCCTGTACAACACTGATTCACGGTCTTTTCCCTATACTCAAAATTCAAGTACAACTTGATACACACAGAATCTCCGGTTCCCGACCTGGATGATGGCTAGTTATTTAATTTAATTTACAGTTACATATTAGTACTCGTGATAAATCAAACCCGTTATGTAAGCCAAAGCCACACGGTTATTAATCTCACTTGGTTTTGGATTTGCTTACAAACGTGATCGGAAATGGTTATAGGGCCTACACAGTATTATTAAAGAACATTTATGTAAACATATCAGTGACAGCTAGGAAAAGGAATCTTTATCAAAACAGCTGTTCGTAATTTCATATATGACGTGTTCTCTTAACAGATTATTAGTTATTTCATAAAAAATGACGTATGTAGTAAACATGGAGAAAATAAACTATAAAAATCACACAAAATTGTATTTTTGATCGTCCGTTATTTTATTTCCAAAATAGTGAGGCCATATTTTAATGGCTATAAGGACTCTCTCGCCAATCCTGTGGATACAATTAAACCATTAGAATCATAATCGGTACTCTAGTTTTCTTCAGAGTAGGCCATGAGTAGGCTGCATAAAACCTTCTGGGCCGTGACAGACGGACATAAATGGATATAAGACATGTTTCAGCTTCTTCAATGTATAAAACATAAATAACCCAAAATATGTATAATTCTGAACAATGTACAGACAAAACTATAACTTTATTGACATATATTAACTGGGTTTGAATTTTAAATATCTAAAAAAAAATTATAAAACTTCTTTTATAGTTTTACAAATAGTGCTGGGCGGGGGAATAATGTTTCTCATTGGTTGTGTACATCATTTAAGGGGGGGGGCTGTTGCTCAATTGGGGGGGGGGGTGCGTCATGAGTCTAGGGGGGGATGGGCACCCCTGTATCAAGCATCAGCATATATTTATCTATAATCCCACTCGACTTATACGTAAACAAAATTTGCTTCCCATGTATTTTATTATGGAAGTTAAATTTGGTTTTTCTTTTCCAAGTTCGTATGGCTCTTCTACCCGACCGATTTTCATGATTGAGGTCTCAAATTGAAGGTATGCACACACAGAATTGCCATCAAGCATCGGCATATATTTATCTATAATCCCACTCGGCTTATACGTAAACGTAATTTGCTCCCCATGTATTTCTTATGGGATTAAATTTGGTTTCTCTTTTCCGAGTTTGTTTTTTCTACCCGACCGATTTTCATGATTGAGGTCTCTAATTGAAGGTAGGCCTACGCACGCACACATATGCAGCAAATGGAATTTCGCTCTGTCTGCATTCTTGCTGCGGCAGGGCAGGGGTATTGCATTTAGGCCTATATCAGCAACAAAAGTATTATTTTATCCAAAAGTTTTGCTCCCCAGAGCCTTCCGCCCTGGAGCGACAGCTCCACTCCACAGTCACTACGCCACTGATGTTACTTGAGGAATTGTTACGATTATTACAAGGTCTAACTTAGTTGTACTGAACTCATAGGACAGACTCTTTAATTCTGATTCTGATGGTGCTCATGACACTTGAAAAAAGAAAAAAAGGATCAAAACCAGTAATATTTTTTTACTGTGGCTTTCAGTGTCCTTAACACAGGTGTGATGCTGCTTAACTTTACTTAGTGCCTAGTAACTTTAGCCTATGTACCTACGGTAGGCCTACATTTTAACAAATAAGATTAACATAAGCCTACTTCTACATGTAGCCTATATCTTACCTTGTATAAAATTTATATAAATTTATCTTACCTTGTATAAAATTTATAAATCAGCAAAATAAGTCCTGTTCTTTCAACAATTTATCGTTTCCATTTGTGGATTATTACGAGTACATCATTCTATATACCAAAACTAATGCACTGTTAGATAACTTTAACTGCCTTCTCATTTCTTGGATTTCTTCCAGGCATACATCCCATACCAACAGGTTACCCAACTGTTCCAGCTGTGGGCACAGTCCAATCAAAGTTTCAACAGTTGCCATCGATATACTTAGAGATGAAAGGGACACATTTTTGAATGGAATTAGAAGCATAATATGTTTTATTGAAGACGTTAGGATTGATGAGAAGAGTTGTTGGATATAACAATCAGACATGTAAGGGTTTTTCATGGCTAAACTCACTTCCATGAGTTTATTTGATTTGTGTAAAACATAGCTGATAAGATTGTATGGAATTCGACATGTTTCAGATTCTGGCCAACCGACTCTGAGAAAAAATACTTCTAAACTATATAAAGAGCATTTCTTTCTGTCAGAAAGTGACAAATCATAATCACAAACAAATTTGTTTGATCTTATCCAAAGTCGTTTCAAATTACTACATTGTTCACACACAACTTTCAAATGACGAGTAGTAAACGTATCACAAACAAAAGATAACGATACTAACTGATTACCGTTGACATTAAGAAATTGAACAGTGTTAGTCCCAGGAGACATTGGTGTTCCTAGGTTATATACCAGTTCAAGTATACTGACACTTGAAATGGCATGAAGGAATTTTACATCTGTGTCACTAACTCTTACTTTAAGACCACTTAGTTTTGGACAAGTGTTAGCAACAATATTCACCATTTTTTCATCACATTTCAACTTGTTAATATCTTTGCATGTGCGGCTTATCGTTCCTAAATTATTCACGTGGGCGAGTTCAAGTTTCTTTGGCATCTCTAACTTTGAATTATACTTATCAAAATGCAACAAAGCGTTACCACTTTCTCTATATCCTAGAAATTTAAGACGGTCCAAACCTTTTAATAGTTCAGATATTCCTTCTGGTGTTACAGAGCATTCAAATAATGTAATCTTTCTCATAGAAGGGCATCCTCGATGGGTCTCTGATGGGATAAGACATCTGATTCCATCATCAGTAACTGTGTGATTGTATGATACATCTAGACTATTTAAGTTAGGGCACCAACTGCCTATTTTGTCCAACATTTCGTCATTGCAAGTAGGGAGTGTGAAGTCTATTCCTGAGGTTTGAAGAGAAATTTCAACCAAATTGTTTAAGTTGGGAAGTTCTTTCAAAATAATATTTTCTAAATATTGAATATCTTCATCCTTTACCCTTCCTATGTAACGGAGGCAACTCAAATTCAGCTTTCCGAGTTTAGAAACGATTAAGCTATCCATTAAACTTGCTACATTCGGAATGCTATCATCACCCATTTCACTTTGAATAAATCTGGCATGACAGTCTATCATATAATGAAAAATCTGATCATAGATTGTGTGTGGAATATGGTCTGTAAATAGACACTTTACTTCTTCCGAATAGTGTATGTAGTCAGTGTAAAATGTTTTATTCCACTTTTGAAGTAAAACTTTTGAAACTTGATGGAGAGCTAGGGAATATAGCTGAGGTGGCGGCTTCTTTACTGCCATGTTTGGAATAGTGTCTTAAAAGCACTTAAATAAATTTGAATACTTGCAATCATTATCAGCTACAGAATAGTTATGAGTATTTCATTTCAAACCTAAATTACATATCAAATAAATTGCTCAGCCAAGAACATAAACAATACAGCACATCAAGAACAATAACTACTACATGACATAACATAACCTCTATTACAAAATTACAGTACGCTCGCTCACGGGCACGGGTTTCGTTGACCCCACTAGGGTGGGAGGTGGGATCCAGTTACGCAAGGCTCACGGGACGCTCCTTGACGCACAATTAATTCTATTGGCTCTCATGTGATCATAGCATGACGTCAGTCTCTTCTTGAGGGAACACCATTACCGCCCGCAACAATACGGTGAAAAGCAAACAGTCATATTATTAAGAGATTAAATTTGCCTTATGGCAGATTACAGTATCAAGATTGTTTCCTTTAATAAAAAATCATGTAGGCTATGTCTATTACAAATTAAACCCTTCTATACAAAACACTTCTACGTCCACTATATTGTTGTACGCCTGCCCAGTATGGGGAACTGGTTCATCAAGCTCAATTCGTAAACTGCAAACGTTTCAAAATAATGTTTTAAGCATAATTAAAATATCCCTGGTATGTCCGAACCCGTCAAATACATTTAGAACTGGGAATCAAACCTATAGAAGATTTCATCAAGAAAATTACCTCAAAAATCTTTACAAAACTTCCATTAACCAGCAGCATTAGATTTTATAACTCAGGTCAACCTTCTGAAATCCTGAGACTCCGGCTAAACCCCAGATTGCCTCAAGATGTTTTATTATAACACTTTTTTCATTTGTGTTCCATTGGTGGACAGCGCCTTTACAGTCCGACCAGCTAAAGTGACAAAAAGTGCCCGAGGGGCTAGCCATAGCTGACCTCTACCTATGTCAATGTAATTAATAATGCTATTTTGTTTCTTATATTATACATAACCTGTGTAGCAATGTAATGCTGATCGGTTAATAAATTTTTATAAAAAAAAGTATCGGTGGTGTAGTGGATATCGTTCCAGGCTGAAAACCTAAGGGTAGATGGATCCAATTCCACCGGAGGCACAAACTGTTTGTCAAAGATTTAGCTTAGAATGCGATTACTTCTTAACTGTTAATCTTTTGTTAGAATTTGAGGCATTTATAATTTTATTTTATGAACAGAACTATTTTTTTTATAAGTAAACCTTCATTCGATTTTTTCATTACCAGCGAGTTTGGTTAGGTTATGTATGACAGTTTAATTTTACTGTCAAAAAATTGTAAAATTGAATTTGAGGCATAAGCCGGCAGAATTGACCCGAATTGTCCTATTAAGTTTTTTTTTATTGTCGATATGTGATATCTAGGGTAAGTAGACCCTAAAACCACCGGGTACTTTTTGGTACCCTTGGGCAACATCCGCCATTTTGGAAAATGGCGGGAAACGTAAATTACACTGCCCTGCTAAGCACAGTTGTGGTAACTGACATCTGGGTAAAATTGAGAAAATAAGGGTAGTATGTTTAAAACTATGCCCTACAGTCAAAAATTGACTTAAAACAATTTTTTTGGTCACATCTTATGTATTTTTTAACGCTAAATCTTTTTCCAAAATTATTTTTAACATGAAAACATTCTAAATACTTAAGAAATTAGATAATGCTTTAGTTCTTATCAATTACAAACAAATATACTTGGCCATATAGTGGCAACTTAATTTTCCTAAGCCAATATGTTGTATCTCTGCAGATGCCACAAACTGGTCCAGCAAAATCATGGTTATTGTTTCAAATGCAACAAAATATAAGGATCCCAAAATAAACAAAATTTCTGGATTGAAATATTTTTGATACTATGATTCTGTTTTGGCAACAAGTTGTTGAATTGTTTTTTATGGGGGGTTGGAGAGGATACTGGTATTTAAATATATATGAATTATACCATTAGTGATGTTATTATAATTGTTATATGATTAATTAATCTTCCCCCTTAAATTGATCAACACCTACTAAAATTTTCTCAAATAAGTTAGAAAATTGAAATATAAAAAAATATTTGTATTTATTATTAATTATTATATATTAAGCAGGTGTTCCACCACTGTATCTAGTATCGCAACTATCACAACATTATCGGTAACTTATGACAAAAGTCAGTAACTTATGCATTATGAATTTACCTATTTAAATAATTATTTATAATATAGAAGCACACAACACTACATATATGTATGTTAATCCATGTAGGTTCGTACATACCTGGTATAAAATTATAAACAATTGTATTATATTTTCCAAAAAAATTCTTTATAAGAAGAATTAATTAATTACCATGCTTTAACTGTACAATAATGATAAACATATTTTATTTTATTTTAATACCTTTTCAACTACTTCATTACATTTTAATACAAAAAATGTTAAGCATTATAAGCTGTTATATAAACATGAATGATAAAACATATTTAGCTAGTATATATAATCCAAATTAAATGCATGCGACTTAAAAAATGGACAAAACAGGGATAAAACCCATTAATTAAGATTAAACATCTCATATTTAATCAAACATCAATAATCAAACAAATTAAACATTTATTTCAACATTGTTGAAACTTGTTTTTAAGAACTACACAAACTATTGTCTAATAGTTTTGTAAACAATTTAAATATTGTAAAAAAATAGATTTTAAAATTGTTGAAACTTGTTTTTTTAAGAACTAGACCTAAACAAACAATTGTTAAATACTTTTGTAAACAATTTTAATATTGTTTGGAAAATTGTTTTAAAATTCTTTATAACAAAACTAAGAATAAAACAATTTTAAAATTGTTTTAAAATAGTTGCAACTTGTATTAAAACTTATTTTGTATACTGCATAAAACTGATTGTTAAACAATTTAAAGATAATTTCAATCTTACATTAAAATTGTTGTAATGTGAAGTTTAAATCAAAATGCTTTTTAGCGAATTTCCCTATAGGGAAGTAGCTATTACCGTAGGTGGCACGGTAAGACCTAGACCCGGGACCGATTTACTTTTTCATTTTGATGTCCCCAGAGGCCAAAAACACCATTCGTTCAAATTTTTATATATGTATATATATATATATAGACATATATATATATATATATGTCCGTGAACGCGATAACTTGAGTAATTTTTGTCCGATTTTGATGAAATTTGGTTTAAAGGTTGAAAACGGAATGAACTTGAATGAGTTCGCGAACCAGCACGATCGGACCATGGGAACGGGGATTTACGGGGGGTTTTATGGGGTAGAAATTGGTTTTTCTCACTTTTGACCCTCAAAACACAAAATTTCCCGATTTCTCTTTAGACCTTTTTAAAGAGCTTAAAAAAACAAATAATTTAGTATATAAAAGTATTTTTGTTTGATTATTAGTAACGAAGAAAATTAAAACATTGTAAATTTAAAATTCCCATGTTATTCTTATGGAGAATAATGTCAAATCTTGTAGTTTGCTTGTTTATGGATATATTTTGATCACACTTGGCAAATTTATTTATTTTGTACTAAGCTATCAATATTTTACTCAAAAACACACTTTATTAGTTTCCTTGTAGCAGCAAACCTAGGTACTCGTTAAACCTAATGTTATTAAAATATATTTAACTGAAAATCAATTCAGACAAATGGAAATTCGCTTAGTCAGCAGGTTTGCTGCGGCGAGGGTATTAATGGTTGTAAAACAAATATTGTAATACAACTTTAGATTTTTTTTAACAATTTGTATGGTCATTTTGGATCAGCAATCGACGATCTGTCAATCTTGTTATGGGGCATCCTTTCCTCCCATCAGGTTTTGGTGAGACACCATTTTCCTTAGACATATCTTGAATAATCCTATCATTGGTTTTGTTATAGCACAAGGTTGTAAAAAAATACTACCAACTTTTTGAGACGTTTTTGTTATGAGTAATTTCCATAAGTAGGTACATCTTCATTAAGATAATCAGATTGACCTGATAAAAAATCTCAATTTCATTTATCAAGCCTACATTGTCTGAACCATAAACCCCTTCACTCAAGTCATAATTTATTTCATCAGATTGGCCTGTAAAAACTTAACTTACAGCTTAATTTATTATGCTTACATTATTGGCAGAATAAATGACCTCTTCTAAAGAAAGGTCCATCATTTAATAGGCCTACAAGATACTCTGTTAAAATTTTGCAGTAAAAAATGATACTATTAACAATATTACCAAGTGGAATGTCAATATAAAGGAAATTAAATTCATTATATGATAATAATAGGTCGCCTCAATTCAAAGAGACAAAAGCTTTGATTCCAACAACACGGCACTTATATAGGAATACTCGGCCAATAATGGGGATGATGCTAAACTAAATTGCCGTAACTGAGGGATTGCTAAAGCATTTTGTGGTAACATATCATTCCTAAGGGAAATCGTTGTATCTGTTGTTGGATACAACTTAAATACCCTAGTAAATGTAAGTTACAACAACTGCGCTTGGTAAAACACTCCTAAACTGCAGATACGGCAAAGAAAATAAGCATTTTATAAATAAATACAACAACATATACGGCATTTAAGGCTATTTATATGATCCTAAGTATGTGTAGAATCACATGGAAACAATATCTCATTTTCCCCAAAAATGTCAGTTACCACAACTGTGCTTAGCAGGGCAGTACAGTGTAAGCTTCTACTTAAACCGTTAAACCAATGTAACTAATAAACTATTTAATATAGAACAATGCAAGTTCTTTTCAAATGTTTATGGTTAAATTTCCCTACTCAGAAATACCTTATATTAAATATATATATCATTTGTTTCATGGTCAGTATTTCTTTTCAAAATTTATAATTTATAAAAACATAATGACATATTTCTTTTAATTTCAATTTTGCGCCTTAATTACTCAAAATATGACTATAATATATATTATACAAATTTTAGACCTTTAAATTTTGCATCAAATACATCTAATGGATGCTTTGTTGGATCAAGGGTAACGCCAGAACAAAGCGATAGAAAATACATTTTTTTATTGATTTAAAATTAAAAATAAGGATATTTTACATGTTCAATAAAATTGTAACATCTTTCCTGAGATAATCCGGTACTTCTCTCTGGCTGTTTTTTGTATTAAAATGTTTGTAAAATTACCAAATTCCATTTGAACTATTACTTATTTATGTTTAAGGACTTTAAGGCCGATCTATTCATCTCCACCCCAAAGAAACGATAATTTTTCAAAAAGAAAAGTTTAAATTGTGATCAAATCATTGAGTTATTATTATTAGATGTTGTATGTATTGCAATAAAAACACTCCAGTAAACAACTGGCATATAAGTATATAAAATGCTTATTGCAGTTAAGGGTGAGGTCATGGTTTAAGAAAGTTTGTTCCTTTTGTTCTACCACTGCCCCTGAACCATAGAAAAAAGTAAAGGTCTCATTGGGTACCTACCACAGCTTTTTGTTGCTAGTTGGTTCAAATTAGCTTTTGTCATAAATGCAAAAAATAATAGTGATGCACCCTGTAGGTAACCCTTAAAACCTGTTAATGCTATTTAATATCATAGAACTAACTTGTGCAGTTGAAAGAGCTGAACAAATTCCTTTTGGATATATTTTTTATCAAACTTGGCAAATTTATTTATTCTATACTAAGCTAATAGTATTTTCCTAAAATCACACTTCTTAACCCTCCCTGTAGCAGCATAACTTAGATACTCGTTAAACCTAATGTTATTGAATTAGATTAAATTGAAAATGGCTGCAGGTGTGCTGCGGCGGGGGTATTATGGAATTGTAATTGATGTAGAAAGAAGACTTTGTGGTGGTACACATGATTAACTCTAAGCTATATAAGATACTAAAATACCCCCGCCGCCGCAAACCTGCAGACTAAGACTAAGCGAATTTCAACTTGTCTGATTACATTTTTACAAAAATATTTCCATAAATAAGACATAAATTTATTTCCTATTTAAATAACATTAGATTTAACAAGTGCTTAGGTTTGCTGCTACGGGGAAGGTAAAAAGTGTTTTTTGACCATACGTCAATAGTATAGGATGAAATAAATAAATTTGCCAAATTTTATCAATATATCCATAAACAAGTAAACTACAACAATTTTCATTTTCTCGATAAGAATAACATGGGAATTTTAAATTACACTATTTTTGAATTTTCTCCGTAACCGTTAGGCATACAACAGCGCTTCAATACCCTAGTAGCACAAATATGTATTTTATAAATATTTTATACATTCAAAGTTGTATTTGATAGAACCTCGAATAAAATATATAAATAATATATCTTTAATAATAGTTTGATATATTCAAATATTTATTTAAAATATTACCAAAAAGCAATGCAAAATATCAATTAAATATAAGTTTTGAATATATAAAATATATTCATAATATATATTGATAATAAGTATAGAATCTATAATATACATATTTTATATGTATATTTTTCCTATTAAATATTTAAAAAAATATGTGTTGAGAATATTTTAAATATATATATAAAATATGTTTGAAACTATATTATATATTTAAAGTATTTATAAATATATTTTGAAACACTTCAGATATTTTTATTACTAAAATAATAATTTGTAGAATATATATAATCTATTATAATTGGCAATTAAATAATTTGCATCTTTTTGTGCATCAATCATTTTAGTGTCTATCAATTTATACATGCATTTTTTGTATTATAATTGCTATTGTGAAAGCGTTAAAATTAAGTAACTTAAATACATACTCTGAATGGTGCCACTCTATCATGCTTGTAAAGAAAAAATTACGCATATTTAAGAGGCAGTATACATGTTCGACAGTTACATGTGGGTCAAACGAAAAAAGTTTTGATGGGTTTTATTTTTTAATTGCAGTATGTGACTATGAATGTGATCATAGAAATCTCGAATGATCGACTAGAAAAGGGTACTAGTGACTGGGGACCTTTTAAGAAACTAATTACGGTTGTATATGTCGTTCTAAAAATAATTATTTCATTTACTTATGTCATAAATTACATAATATTTGTCATAGTATTTAAATTAATTTTTGTAGATTACTGTATTTGTATTCGTGGGGACTACTCACTATTCACTACAGCACTATTCAACTCAACAACTTGATGTCAAAACAGATTAAGATTCATATTATACTGTGGTATCACAAATATTTCAAGTATTGCAACCATTGCAACTGTCGGCTACACTTTCACCATTTGAAAACTTTGACTAACAACAGTCACAGATAGCTCAGAGGTAAGGTAAAATGCTCATGAGTCGAAGGACCCAGGTTCGAGACCCATCCGGGCCAAAAAAATTTTATCTAGTTTTTTTCCAAAATTTGTTTTTATGAACTATTTAATCAATTTACTCAACTGATAATTGTGCTATTCAGGCTAAATCTATATTATTTTGTGTTTTTATTTTTAGGCCCCATGGGATGTTTGAAAGTGATATTAAATACATTTTTTATTTAAATATTATTCAATAAAATATATTATCGGAACATATTTTTTTTAATATTTAATAGATTCAAAATCATATTTTTTATATATTTAATATATATTAAATATTATATAAAATTGACATTAATACACACTTGAGATGTATAAAATAGATTTTAAATATATTTATTCATATGTATTTAATATATATTTGTGCTACTAGGGTATAGTAAATTATTTCTTTTTTTAAGCTCTACAAAACAGTTTAAAAAGAAATTGCAAAATTTTCTGTTTTTAGGGTCAAAAATGGGAAAACCCAATTTTTATCCCATAAAACCCACCATAAACCCCTGTTCCCATGTCCGATTTTGCTGGATTGCGAACTCGTTCAAATAAACGTAGGTTTACACGTTTGTACCAAATTTCATTTTTGCTCGAGTTATCGCGCTAACAGACACATATATATAAACAAATATATTTATGAATTTGAACTGATGGTGTTTTTGGCCTATAGGGACCTCAAAATGAAAAATTAAATCGGTCCCGGGTCCAGGTCTTACCATGAGTACTATGGTAATAGCTACTTCCCTATAGGGAAATTCGCTAAAATCAATCCCGTCGGTCCCAATTAGTAGCGTCGGTCGCTTAAAAATTTGACTGGCGCTACTATTTGTATTCGCTAGTTTGTGCCTTGCAACGGGGTCAGTATGCAAAAGAGTTAAATGGTTCTTTCAAAATGCCAAATAGTTTCACTCCCTACCATGAATTTTAGAAACGAAATTGAACTGTATTAGCCTACTTAACCTGATAATAGTAATAGGTCTAGTACTTTTTTGTTAACTTATACTGTGAATACTTTATTTAGGCTACCTAGGATATAAAAACAATGATAAATTTTAAGGTATAATAAAAGAACCTGTTTAATGGTTTGGACTGTAAACGAAAATATATCACAATAGTTCCAAACCTGTCAATAGTGTCAATATGATGATCAATCACAATCAATGATGAATATGATCAATTACATAACAATATGACAATAAGCTGTTGAATTATTAACACACGTTTCGTATGATTAGAAACCAATTATTGCCATCTATAAAAATTATTGGTTTTTTCTTTTTCAAATCGGGTTAGCTCTTCTACCCGACCGATTTTCATAATTTTCGGCCTTAAACTAAAGGTATGGACGTACCACAGATTTGCCATCAAGCATCGGCATTCGTTTTGACATATATTTCGAGCTATGCACAAACTGCCTCCCCGTACATTTCTTAAGGGAGTTAAATTTGTTTTTTTACGAATTCGTTAGGCTCTTCTACCCGCCCGATTTTCATGATTTTGGTCTTAAAATACGGACGTACCGGTACCTAATGCACACAGCTAAATCACGAACGGCACGATGGTGTCAATCAGCTTTTTTGTTAATATCACGATCTCAGTTTTGAGCGAGAGACCGTGGTCTGCCATCTATGCGTTTATGGTACGCATAACTCTGTTCAGCTTTTTCTGAGCCAGCTCGCGCTACGTTTAGCTATCAAAACTGCAACGTCATCTACGTACCCAATCAAAATAGTTTCTTCATTTTATGTTGTTTGTTGTTGTTCCGGATCGGTATGACATACAATAAAAGGTTAAACTACCTGTGTCCGCCAGTCGATCCTTATGAGGATCGACTGGCGGACACAGGTAATTTAACCTTTTAAAATAGTTTCCTCAGACCTGAATTCAGAAGGCTGCCATACCCGACATTCCAGAGGTCTGGGCCGAGTATGGAACCTTGGGCAGCACCGGAAGTGACACTCATCGTCCGTGGGCCTTCTGTAGTGTCATACATGAGGAGGCGGAACCGGAGATAATCCTCTATGATACGCAAGAGGTATGCCGGAACGTGGAAGGTGTTCTCCAGAGCATCCAGCATATCACACCACCTCGCGGAATTAAATGCGTTTCGCATTGAGGCTTTCTGGGTGGTTTAGGACCGAGACCTATGTACTAAATTTCAGATGCGTAGCTCTTCTAGAAGTATGTTAGAATGTGTATACCTGATAAGTCAGTCAGGGAGTCGGTGAGTTACACATGCGGCTGTATATTTAATTAGATTCTTTTACATTCGTAGATAATGATGGACAATGGAATATGAACAGTGCTAATTTTCGTTCATTATAGAACAGTTTTGAAGCAAAGAGAAGACAAAAATTAACATGTAAAAATAATGAACAAAATAAATATGAAAGTAAACCGTTTACAAATTACTGAATTTTGAATGAGAACATGTGGTTGAAAACATACCAGAGAGAAAATTAAAATCAGATGTGTTCGTAGACGTGATAACTCGAGTATTTTAAGTCCAATTTTGATGAAATTTGACTTGACTTGATTTGACTGAATTGAGTTTTTTCAGCAACATCGGGTCATAGGAACGGGGCATGGAGCTATGGAGTTTTAACATTTCCAATGATTTTTTCAAGCTTTTACTCTTAATAAATGGAAATGCTCAGTTCACAATTGCGACCATCATGTAGAGCTAGAAGCTGGCAATGAAGGAAATGACAAGTGGGCAAACAAAGGAGCTGAAAGCCCGCTCATGGGTCCAGAACCGACATGTGGTTATCCGTGGGATGGGCATAGAACATTTAAGGAGCTAGGAAGAAACAGAAGGCAACGTACAAAGAGAATGCTGCAGACACCTATCGGTGCGATAGTGGCAGATGCTCTTGGGCTGAATAGGAAGACCTTGCGGAAGGTGGTTGGCTTCATTAGCGGCCATTGGTTATTTCGCGGACATCTACACAAGATGGGAATCAAAGTTGATAGCCTCTTATGTAGGAAATGTGGAGAGGAGGAGGAGACATCCTTCCACGTGATATTTTTGTGCCCAGCCCTACAAGGTCTGCCTATGAGATCCTTTGGCCTATCAACTGGAGATCAAAGGGAAGAACAGTTTACCGATTTTTTTCAAACACTAGACTTTGCCCCGAGTCAAGCCTAGCACATTCGGACAAAATAAGTACAGTAAATAACTCTAGCATTTTTAAGAAAATTACAAAAAAATTCTTGCATCAAAAGGGTTAAAGAGTTGTAGTAAAACTAAAGGTTATGGATAAAATACAAAAATAACTGTACACCATCTAAGATCCCATGTTATTCTTATAACAATCACTGTTATAGTTTGCTAGTGTATGGATGTATGTTGATCAAACTTGGCAAAGAAAAAAAAAACATACTTTTACCTTCCCTGTCCCGTAGCAAAAAAACTCGTAAAATCTATTATTTAAATTGGAAATAAATATGTCTTGTTATAACTGAAATTCGCTTAGTATGCAGGTTTGCTGCAGCGGTGGTATTTAGAATTACACAAGTACTACTTTTTTACTAAACAATTGCTTTAATATCACTTTTAAACATGAAAATTAACATACTTTCTTGAGATCAAATAGTAAAAAAATACAGTTAAACTATATGTCTGACATACAGTATTTTACAATGCTAAACAATCGACCAATAAGAATTTTTGTTAGTGTAAGTTTATTAGTGTATAATTTCAGGTTTCCAAAACTGTATACTGTAAAGACATCAATTGAATGTTCTACAGAATTAAAGCTAAATTAATCTCCTTCTTACACTAAACTGGTAGGTTCTTTTGACTCTATTCCATTTTGTGCCTTAGTTCGTAATTTTTACTCATAAAGTCCATCACAATATCCCTCAAAGGACATTCATTTTCAGGTATACCAATGTCTTGAACACTAGGACAACTCGGCTGTGAAAATTTTAATTCATCTTCCTGTAGACTTTCCAGCCAGTTAACTGAAAAACCATCCTCTACAGACTCGACGATGTTGTGCAACGTGACACATGTTGGCACAATGAGTGGAATTGATTTCGCTAAGAAATCTGAACTCTTACTGAGACAACGGAATCTTCCTTTGAGCCGTCCAAAACCACAATCAGTGACTTCTCTTGCAGATTCAAGGTAAAGGTTGAATGACTCTTTGTACTCATCACAGGGTTCTGCATACGGAGTAAGTAGCCAAGGAAGTGTTGGATGTGATTTACTCCCAACTAAATAAAAATCAATACAGCCATCTTCTATGTATTTTGGAGCCGAAGGAAGATAGTCTTCTACATTTCGGCACAGTTCAGAATCTGTCAAAACCAACGCATGATGACTTGTACCTGGTTTGTTGCAAGAAATGTTTCTAAACCTGAAAAATATTTAAAAAAACATTAGCAAGAGACCAACAAAGAATGTATGTAAATAATGTTAAAAATGTTCTTCTTTTGGCATTATTGCTTGTATTCCTCTAACGTAATTAGACTATGACGTAGTACACAGATATCAGTGAGAGCTAAGGCCTATTTCACGATTTTAGTAAATAAAACTTAACTAGTGTACCTGTTGCTCGAATTCGAGCAATTTTTAAGTATTAAAGGCGTTATTTTAAAACGAATAACAGTCATAATTTCTGATGACTTTAAAAGATTCGACTCAAAGATTATGGAAATACTAAAGATGTAGATAACAGATCGATATAATCAACATTTCTTGTAAATATCTTATAATTTTTCAAAAGCTGATCTTGTTTTTTAGTGTTTTCTACAAATAGCCTTACTCATAGCCGCATTAGGTTGTCCATAATACTGATTATAAATATAAATACCCCGCTGCAGCAAACCTGCAGACTAAGCGAATTTCAACTTGTCTGATTACATTTTTACTAAAATATTTCCATAAATAAGACATATTTAAGTATTCCCTATTTAAATAACATTAGATTTAACGAGTGCTTAGGTTTGCTGCTACAAGGAAGGTAAAAAGTGTTTTTTGACCATATGTCAATAGTATAGGATGAAATAAATAAATTTGCCAAATTTTATCAATATATATCCATAAACAAGTAAACTACAACAATTTTCATTTTCTCCATAAGAATAACATGGGAATTTTAAAGTAGGTACACTATTTTTGAATTTTCTCCTTGACCAATACCAGGCATAACAACAAGGCATACAACACCGCTTCAATATACAAATTATTTATTTTTTTAAGCTCTACTTATCACTCACTAATTATTTATTTAATAGCCTATTTAAAAATTTCGCCTAGTAATGAACAACTTTGTCAATCCATTAGCTAGACGACTTATACTCCTTTTGAAATAAAAATTAGATCTTTACATACATCGGACGAGACGTAGTACTGTCACAAAGTTAACATTAGTCTTATTGGACTAAGATGGCTACAACTGATGAAGACTCTGAAGTAGGGAACAAATTTAGGAAAAATTGTAATGAAAATACAGGCAAATGGAATTTTTTATTATAGCCCCTGTTTCTTGTTAAGTATTGATTTTAGGATAAAAAGAAAAGGACTTTTTTGTAAAAAATGTAATGTTCTTTATTTATGAATTGATACATTTTCCTGTTAGAGGGAGCCGTTTTCGAGATATTTACAAAAAACTAAAAAAGTGAGCACTTATACCCCCTCCCCCCATAGCTCACATCCCACCAATCAGGAATTTTAGTATGTTGTTCAGGAGGGTCCCTTTCCTACAACTGTACAAAAATCCGGGACTACATGATTTTTTCCCCACTCATTTAGCTGTGTTGAGTGGGCTATAAAATGGCTACAACTGATGAAGACTCTTGAATAGGAAATAAATTAAGAAAATATTGTAATAAAAATACAATCAGGCATATGGAAATTTGCTTAGCCTGCAGGATTGCTGCATTGGGAGGTATTTTGATTTATAACTATTCAAACGACCTATTAAGACAGATTAAAGCCTACTTACATATACTTGTTATCAACGACTGCTTGTAAAATCATTGAAGACCAATCCTTTTCATTTTTGTAGTCTGTGCAGTTTTTGGTTGGTGGGTTGATAGGAATATGGGTGCAGTCAACAGCTCCAATCACTTGGGGAAGGCCACAAAATCCTTCAAAATCATCGGCAATGTCTAAAGCTTCTTCTAAAGTGGGCATTCTAACGTGTATAGGAAGAAGGAAATCATTTATAGCTTTGCAAACCTGATTCAGGCAGACAAAAACAGTGCTTTTATGAACACCAAATAGGTTTCCGACTACTGAGTATTCACAAGCATTTGCCAACTTGTAGATTGCTATGGCCACTTTTGTGCTGACATCTAGTGAACCTTTTCTGTTTAGTAACACAACTAATGTATCACAATTTTCTAGTTTCCCTACAATCCCGTAGAAGGTGTTCTTCGACATATGAAAATGTTCTAACCAGGTGTTGTCCGAAGCTGATTCCTGGATCATTTGCCACCATCTTTTAGTTCTCAGTTTACTGCCAATCCTTCTAACTCTGGCTGGATGATTAGCAACTAGTGCATCGATAAAGTAGGAGGGACACAGAAGACGGCGTGTACGAAGCATTCGTTTCCGGACATCGCGCCTCCTCCTAAGCTGGATCCGCCGTCTGGAACAGTGTATAAACATTATTTGAATTATATTGTACACTATCTTAGCTCATTTAATATTAAAATTATAGTATTTTAAGGCACGTTACTGGTTAGTTTTAGGATCAGAATCAACCATTGTTGAATCAACAGCTCTATTTTAAAAAACACTCACTCTTTAAACCGTTTGTTTAAATACATATACTGTATATGTAGATAGGACTATGTCCGTAGCATGGCCGCTAACTCTAGAAAAGCTCATCCAATTTTGATGAAGTTTGTTCAGAGGTGCCCATCCCACCCAAACCCAGAGGCGCAATCCCTCGCCCAGGCCAAAGGAGGTGTTCTCCCCCAATTTATGCTGCCCTCTATTTTAAACCTACCCTCCCCCGCCAATTTACCTGGCAATTTCCCCTTTACCACATAAAACCAGCATTTCAGGTATTTAGTAAACTTGAGGTAAAGAAAAAAACAATAAACTCGGTGAATTACTCTACTCCAACTACAGTACTGTAACTGTACAATAACATAACTTTTTACAGGGCCTAAGAAGTTCAAACAACTTTAAGTGCATGAATAATACTTTGGCAAAAAGTATCTTGTTTCAAAATTCACGAAATAAGACAGACTAGGAGGAGTTACTCACCACTCCCAGGCTGTCTACTACAAAAATCGCCAGGTTAAATACCCACAATACCTTAAATGCCACCAGTAGCCTACAAAATGTTTTTGTGACAAAGTAATTTTATCATTAATTTTGATAGCCGCAGGATTGCGTTTGCATCTTGTCAAACGATCCTTAATAAATGTACGGTAGTGTCAAATTTTAATTGCTACATATTATGTTTTGGCGGTTCTTTAACTCTACCATCGTCAGGCTTACAAAAGGATCCACTTCTAGAGGTGTCGTCAGAATATGTTAGACGCATTAAACACAAAACTATAACAGATGCGTGTTATTGCCGCGGGCAGTACTGGAAGTAAAATGAATCAGGTTATGACGGACTGACGTGGTCTCTGGATTGTCGTCTGTGTTATCAAAAGCTAGTGATGTAAAACGCATTTATAACTCGGGGCAAATGACCAGGATAAACGCCCGGGCAAATGCCCATTTTTCATAAACGCCCGGGCATTTATGGATTTTACATAAGTAATTCATTTGCGGCATTTTTTATAGGCAAAAAATGCTTCTTTTAAAACAAATTATGAATTCTTTTAGATAAATAAGTTAAATAAAAATCTTGTATAGGGATGCAGACAATTATAAATAGAAAAAGTTAGGCTAACAATAGTATTTTAAATTTTACTAACTTGATTCTTAAAGAGAAAATAAAATAATATTATACCTGCATAGGAAATAAACTATAAACCAACGTAGTACGCCTGGCCTAGTTGACAATACAAAATAAATATTTTTTGTTTCTTTTATATAGGTAGTTAAAAGGCCAAAAATATGCTTTTTTTAAGTCAAACAGTTTAGGCACTTTTGTCTTAAGAGTTAAGGTAAACCAGTTATTTTTCAGCAACCCCTACAAATATAATTTTGGATAACAAATTTAAAAATTATTGTATACGCAATGAAAAGAAAAAAACTCCTTGTTTTCATTAATTCCCAAGATGTGAGCTTTTCTAATTGCTTTGCGCAAATTATGATTTAGGGTAAAGTTATATTTTACACTAAACCCCTTCAAATATAATTTAAATATTGAAATAAACATTATTTTGTATTTAAAACAATCAAAAACACAAAAACACCTTGTTTCCAAAAACGCCCGAGATGTTGCTGATGTGGGCATTTATTTAACTGTCTCAGGCAAATTGAGAAGACAACACAGAATAATTGTTGACCCTAAACTAAGCTTAAACTATTTCATAACTAGAATTAGTCTCCCCTGATAATTAATCCAATTACTATACTAAATACTTATGTTTAATTTTGATGGAAGGTAGCCAAAGCAATGCCGGCGAATTCGGGGTGAAAAGCTTTGATACGTCATCAAGATGGCGGATAGTTAAAGTACTCCTTGTTTTGCTGTGCCTTGAAAGATAAATTTAACAATAAATACTTACAGTTTAAGTTCCAAATGTTATCTCTAGTGAGAGTGTAGTGAAAGTTTTATGATAAGTATATTCACCATCAAAGGACACTTCTTTTGGATAAGTAATCTATACTGATAACAGTACTTGGTTTTCCTGATCGGGGCCGTTATCTGTCTACCTGCTCAGACCGGTCAAAGGCCAACTAGCTGATAGCAATAACCCAAACCCCAACTGTCATTGTAAGTCTGGACTGTTTGTTTACAAACATAGCTTTAAATGTTTGCTACTTAAATATTTAATATATTAAATATTTAATTTAATTTAAAAAAATTCAGGAAATGGAATCTAAATCCAAAACTGGAAATAACTTTAAAATTAGCCCTAATGTCAAGCATGCTGATGTAAGTAAAAATACACAGGGTTGTATTCCAGATGGAATACGGACTAGGGCTAAAACAAAAGCATCAATTATTGAAAAGTGTCAGTACAAAAATAAACTTAAATCAACCCCTGGAAAATCACCAACTGGTCCAATAAAACCCATGTCAGCTAAAAATAAAGTAGCAATCTCCCAGTCACAGGAAACTCAAACAGATGATACATTTATTCCTACGAATAAAAATACTGAAACGCAAACTGAAATTAGTAGTTTGTCGGTAACACGAACGGATGAATTGCTGGGAAAAAAATGGCTGACTGATGGCACTATTCAACCGTATTTTGAGCTATTGAATTCCTGTATACTTTCAGAGCTTTCGGCAATTGCTATCAATCCTGTAATTAGTCATGCAATAAAATGTATTGAGGTTTTTGAACACTTTGTTGAGCCACTAAACCTCGATAGGAAACAAGTTATGATTATCCCTGTCAATGATTCAACAATCCTAGATCAAGCTGGAGGATCACATTGGAGCGTCCTTTTTTATTCTAAACATGACCATCATTTTTATCATTATGATTCAATGGATGGTTTTAATACCACTCATGCAGAACTGATTGTTAGTAAGCTAACAAACTATATGAAATGGGACAAACCATGTTTCACTAGCATTAAAGGCCCGCAACAAACAAACAGTTATGACTGTGGGATCTACATGATAAGTGTGACAGATATGGTGATCAATGACATTGTTAACAATAAGAACATTAATATCAATTATATCCAAGAATCAAAAATTCTCGATAGTGACCTCATTTTGAAAAGATCCTGCATGGCTTACATAATTAACAACATGCTAATATCAAAACAAACACTGCTGGAGCTTATCACCAAGCCATTAGCTCACAAAATACTCTACAACAAGTCTACTGAATGTTTTGGAAATACTTCAATCAACCAGATGACCAGCTCTCAAATCACACAAAAACCTGTGCCTACCAGGAACGAAAATTGGATTACAGTCAATAGGCCAGGATCAAATATTCAGAAAATGCAAGTAAGGGACACTAAACATTTTTAAGGCCCGTTCACACGGGGCAAGTTTACAAGCTACACGCCAGCGTGTAAGAAGCCGGCGAGTTGGCGAGTGTGCTTGTGTTCGTTCACACGGAGCTTGTCAACTCGCCAACTCGCCAACGTGTAGAAAGACGCCGGCGAGTCGGCGAGTGCGCTTGTAGTCGTTCACACGATGCTTTTTCCACTCGCTCAGTAGCTGGCTTGAACCAAATCCTCCAACATCTTTGAGTAACAAGCGCACAAGCACAAGCAACTGTGTTCACACTGGGCTACTTTACCCGCCTACTCGCTCAAAAGCTGGCGAGTTGGCGTGTAAAGTAGCGGCAGCGTCAACTTTTTCCAGAGCTTTTTTACAAGCAGCTTTTGAGCTAGTACGTCGTTCACACTGAACTATTTTACTAGCTGCGTGTAAAAAAACCGGCGTGTAGCTTGTAAACTCGCCCCGTCTTTACAGCAAGAATCGTTTCAGTGTGCTAAAGAATTATGAACCATCAGACAATGACCTTACTACAGCTTCTCACAAGGAGGAAAAAACTCTCAGCACTAGTAATAAAAGAGAGAGTAAAATTAATAAGTTATATGAAGGCCAAAAAGTCAAAACCAACACTCACCAAAGTACAAACACTGATCGCAAACCAGCTCTGTCTATTATTGGCGATAGTCATGCCCGTGGTTTGGCCAACATCCTTCAAGCAGAGAGCGGTGGGAGAATGCACATTTCTGGCGTAACAAAACCAAACGCTAAATTTTCACACCTGAAGAGAGATATTCTAAATACAAGGGATTTTACCACTTTGGTTTTATTTATTGGTGCCAACAACGCCTACGATTCTGATCTGGAAGAAATTTTTGGAGGCCTAGAGTCTGTATTGCTCCAAATCAAATGCAATGCAGTACTACTGTTAAGTATACCTTTCAGAAAAGATTTGCCACTAAACCACCCAATCAACTCCAACATATTTTATTTAAACTTGTTTTTAAATGACTTGGCAGGTCGAATAAAATCCTGTGAATTTCATGATATAAGTCTTTTACCTGAACGGTTTTTCTCACACGATGGGGTTCACTTGGCATTGTCGGGGAAAAGATATTTATGTGACAAGCTAATGAAAAGTTCATTCTTAAAATGCCACTTTAATGCACTTCCTCAAATTGATGTTTCTTCCACCAGCCATGATGTCACAGCTATGGCAGTACCGACGTCTCCTTCAGGAGATGGGATATTTGTTTTAGAAGCTAACATGAGGGATGTTTTCGAACAATATCACCATGATTCATCGGTCGCTCTGGCCCACACTATCTCGTCTGACTTTCAACATCATAGACATATGTCGGCTGGTGTAGCCGTGGCTTTCCGAGAAACATATGGCCGACCTAATACTTCAGACCTTAAATATAGCAGACTCGCCTGCCAAGAAGTGGATAATGGACCTACCATCTACAGCCTGGTCACCAAGGATCACTATTGGGGGAAACCGACTAATTCAGACTACAACGAAGCTTTTAACCAGCTTATAACAGACT